TCCAGATACAGTACGATGAATTCATCATCGTACTGTTCGCCCTCCAACGTGTAGTGGATTCCTACTACACGTTTCTTAACGGTAATCGATGCGCCTGTTGCAAGGCGCACCGTCATCCTTGTGAGGGGAATGTCGCGCTCAACGAACTTGAGCCTACGACCCTCTAGTGACTGGCGACGAACAAAGTTGTTCGACGCCCCACAGTCTACTAGGGCACGAAGCGACAAATCATTTGTCGCTTCCAACTTCAAGGTGATGAGCGAAACGTCATCACCAGGTGCAGAGACACACAATGATTGTGTATATGGAGCAACTTTCGTCAAGAGATTTGCAAATTCTCTTGAGGTTGCTGGATCAGTAGGGCGCTCCGCCCCTACTGACCCCGACCATTTTTTGATGGTCCGTCTCGCTGTTGCGGCTTCGCAACAGCGCTGGACCCACGCCCATTGCCCTTTCTGGCAAAAGGTCGTCCATTTCGCTCAGTACTGTTTGGTACTGGGCGTGGAGCACTACACTCATATGCGTAGTGCCCTAACTTCTGACAGCGATTGCACCTCTGCAATCGCTTGTTGTTTGTAGAGCGAGGTCTCTCGCTCTCAACATAGCAGAGGTCCATTGGTTCTGGACCTCCGATCTCTTGTCGTCTCGGTGGACGGTAAGAGTTTGAGCTAGCATGAGCATGTCTCATGCTTAAGTCTTCCTGTTCCGCGGCTGATATCGCTTCTTCAAGCGTATTCAGCTCAAGGCGGAACAGGTGGCTCCTGACGGGCCCTTCTGCGAGCCCTTGCATGAACAGCGTAATCAACTTGTGTTCATGAACTGGGTTAGCAGTTATACTAATCGCTAGGAGTCGTATATGTTGTGCGTAAGCGTGCACATCACGCTTACCCTGCCTGAATTTCAGGAGCTCAGAGCGACCCCTGAACTCAGCACGTGGCGGCTCAAACGTTTGTCTGAGCCGGGACTTGAAGTCATCTAGCAACCTAAACACATTTGGGTCGCTACTCTCGAGGCCCAGGGACCAAGTTTTGGCACGTCCTGCCAAGTGGGTCTGAGCAAATGTGAGTTTCATTTGCTCATCTTCGACGCGACGAGCCCTTAGGGCTCTGTCGAGTTCGACAAACCATAGTAACACGGAGTCCTCCGGGACTCCACTGTACTTGGAGATGTCGACTTTCATGACTTCGGGAGGACGCGCATGCGCCGTCCCGCCCACAGCAGCATGGAATTGCTGCTGTCTCAACAGCTCTGTCTGTTGAGCACCGAGTTCTCTCAACTGCTCGGACTGTTGAGAGCCTTGCTGGTGAAGCAAGGCTACTTTCTCCCTTTCGGCGACAAGTTCACTTTGGATGAACTTGGCTATCGCGGCATGTTGTTGGTCTCTGTCTAGAGACTCCAACATGGCGCTAATGGCGAACTCGCCTACGGTAGAACTCGTGCGTTTTACCGCACTCCATTCGATGTCACTCAATAGGTTGAACCCTTTACGCGTGGCGTGAAAGGTCTCTTCATCATCCAACATGTTCATGTTGGATGTTGTGGTCCTCGGAAGGACTACAAAGTGCTACCAGGTGTAACGGGGCACACCCTTGCGTGAACTTAACGCAAGGGTTAGGGTGCCCCTACAGACGTACACGAGGCAAACGAGGAAGCGTAGATAAGGGAAAAGTAAAACTGTTATATTAATATAATTAAGTCTTTAAACTACTGTCTCTTCGTTTGACTTAATTCAATTATACTAATATAACTGCATTTATGGTGACGTCTCGTCACCACTCATTGCGCGCGTCTTGCGGCGATTGGTGGGTTGATATCATCACGATATCAACCAATGAACAGACCCCTTTGGTCGACCCTTCGATATCACCACTTTGGTGATATTGTTTTAAAGAATATCCATCTTTATATTCTTTATTGTCACTTTCCTAAAAGTGACAATTTCATGTAACGGGCTGCCCCGTTACATTCAGTGCGACCGGGTCGCTCACGAAGGTCTTTTTGTCACTTTGGCGGGGTGTATGTACGAATACATTGTTCAGAGTTTTCGGCAATTACACGCACTAGCGATGCGGGAGTGTAGGAAGCTACACACCCAGGTGGCTGGAACTCGTCTAATGCAATGCATCGGGCTGCTCACCATGGCCCCATCTAGAGCACCGCACACAGCGATGAGACTCGTCCAACCACCGGATCATTCTACACCGGCGTTGCTATCCTGGCTTTGGTCTTTCCAGACGTCTTGTACACCATAATTTCGTATAATAGACAGTCTGTTTTGCTCTCTCTCTTAAACGGACTGAAGTCTTCACTTGCGAGACGACAGCTCCTGCAACGGCGCAGGTACAAGCCAAGGGCGTGACGGCAACATCTGCAGCGACGATTTTTGAACCGGTGGAGCTTGCTGTTGTTGAAACATAAGCGGCCTTGGACGAGACAGTCTTTGCATCGGCGGGATTGGCTGCGTCGTCGCGTTTGAGAGCGAAAGGTAAGATGGTGGCGGTATGTCCAACAGCATTTGCATTTATACACATTCATTAGTTATTAATATGGACTATTGACGCTTTCCTTAGCATTTCGTCGGCGAGGACATATCTCCTCGGCATCACCTATGGGAGTCAACAAAAATTAATCCAACGATGGCTTTGCGCAAAAGATATCTCGTGCAATCAGAAAGTAGACCAACCCACGCCATTTTTTATATGGTGTGATCGGTCGTGCCATATTAAATCTAAAACACACACGCGACGCTAGTTAGCCGTGTTGCACAAAAACTGTCAGCAGCAGCATTACCAACCTGCTATTACTTTCTCGAGAGGAGAACAAGTATAACCATGTTATAATACTGCAATAAACGCCGATGGGAAATAGGACGGCTTGTGCCAGCGTGAATTCAAGTAGACCGGTGCCATATACTGCAGTCTCCTCAACAACACAGATCATTTAGCTCCAATATCGATGGTATGTATTTCACACGACATCGCAAGGACCTAGTGCATTGTGCCAATACAAGAAGCAAGCAGCGTCAGGTTGATCGCGGACACCGTAAGTCGCATCGACACGTTTAAAAACCTTAGCATTAAGTGAATCATAATGACCATTATCGCTCCAGGCCCCCTGCAACCATCGCCACAACATTATTAACCAGCTGTCAGTTCTCGTACCTCATTTTTCTTTACGCACACCCACGTTTTTAACCTCTACTAGTAGTAACAAAGTTTGTACCAGCAAAAGAGTTGTTACACTCCCAGAACGCGACACCAGCGTGGGTTTGCTCAACATCAATAAAAACGATACATAGAAACATACCAGCAAAAGCAATTTACACAACAAAATGTGGTTTAGTTAGTTAGTCACTCAGTCATCAGCCACATCTGAAAAGCACAATTTTTCTATCTTTCTCGCATGTCTTTGGCTATGACTCCACCGACTGCAACAGCCCGTCCCCCGTTTACTACTATTGTATACCCAGATGATTGGTGGCGATCTTTGAAGACGGCGGGAGGGACGACCGAGAATGAGAAGTACAGGAGCAATATCGATGAATGCACCGTGACACAGTCGACGTGACGGTATGCACGTGCAGCGATTGCTGAGCGTGTGCAAGGGCTAGGCCCTGAGCAGGCTATCAACAAATTGGGACTGCAGTCCGTTTAAAATGCGGAGTGTCCGCCTTATCTTAGAAACGTTTCTAGCGAAGTTCAATCGAAAGCGGTATTTTCTCTACCCTTTTGTATGTATATAAAACAAGGTAATGGATAGCCTTATCGCAACGGTGTTTTTTTAGGCGAACACTGGTGTTTTAAACGATTCACCGTCTTCTGAACCCACATGGCCCTTCCTGTCTGCGATGATCATCACGTTGCGTGGATCGCGAACGTCAGAGCATGTTCACTGGCTCGCACGCGAGATATGCTGGCCGTATATGTGCCGGCTGGCTTTGAGTGCAACTGATCCTGTATCCAGTCACATTAGGATATAGAGCAGTTTCTCACCACAAGCTGGTCGCACCCCCGTAAAACGAGCGCCATCGCACCGCTCCTTCTGGTTTAGCAAATGGCAGTCGCTCCATACAAGATGCCCAGTGCAACCAAGTCCGAGCTTGTGTGTTTCTACCAGCACGTGTGATCGATGCCTAATGCGTCGCGACTTCTACAATGGGCCACGTAGTATGCACAGTCTACGACAACGAGCGACTGGGCTTATGGTAGGAGCTGGATCGCGCACGTCAGGGCTTGTTCACTGGCTCGCACGCGAGATATGCTGGCCGTTTATGTGCCGGCTGGCTTTGAGTGCAACTGATCCTGTATCCAGTCACATCAGGATATAGAGCAGTTTCTCACCACAAGCTGGTCGCACCCCCTTAAAACGAGCGCCATCGCACCGCTCCTTCTGGTTTAGCAAATGACAGTCGCTCCATAAAAGAATACCCAGTGCAACCAAGTCCGAGCTTGTGTGTTTCTACCAGCACGTGTGATCGATGCCTAATGCGTCGCGACTTCTACAATGGGCCACGTAGTATGCACAGTCTACGACAACGAGCGACTGGGCTTATGGTAGGAGCTGGATCGCGCACGTCAGGGCTTGTTCACTGGCTCGCACGCGAGATATGCTGGCCGTTTATGTGCCGGCTGGCTTTGAGTGCAACTGATCCTGTATCCAGTCACATCAGGATCCAGAGCAGTTTCTTGCAGAACGTTTTGCTCGCAAGAGCCGGAGCGTGTGTATCAGAATATACTGGCTAGAAGGATTGACAATGATGGACGACTCTTTTTAGTAAACTTACATCTTTGAGATTGAGAGCCAGCAAAATGGAGTTGTACCACGTACAAAGCAGCACTGCAGTCACAATCGAACGGATACAAGGAGAATGCACACCATTAAATTTTGTGATCCCCTCGATACGGCTCTTTACAATTTCGGGTCAGGTAAGCAAGCGAGCTCTTGTCTCCACTACTCAATCACTTCGCAATCTCACCGCGCCATCCACAATCCCCCTAAACATGCGTGTCTTCGCCTTTGCGCTTGTGGCTTCGTCCGCTGTCCTGCCGCGCCTCGACGGCGCCTCCGATGCTGCGGAAACATCGAGGATCGCACACCAAGACCCAGCTGTTGTTCCTCCGACCGCCGCTGGCGTGGACTCTCCCCCGAGCAGGTTGTTAAGGGATCAAGGATTCGAAGCAAACGAGGCTGCAAAACTTCTCGAGTCGGCTACAAGATCATTAAAGTCGTCAGGAAAGGTGGAAAAAGTTGCTGGTGCTATCAAGAAGATTATAAATGCGCAGACGGAGTTGACAACAGAGTTCGTGATGACAGACGCGATGTTGCGGGTGACACGAACGCTTGAGCCAGATGATCTTGTCAAGCGACTTGTTCAGATGAATGTAGACGAAGTTCAGCTGGCACGAGCGCTATATGACATGCAGCGACATTCAAATGACCGTCGTCAACATTATTTTGCCGAGGCTCTAGGGGTGCTGATGAAGAACTGGTTCGAAAGCGGACTGACTAAAGCTCAATTGACTAAGAATCTGGGTCTGAAGAAACGCTCATTTTCCCAGCGCGTTGATGATGAGGGAATACCATCTACAGGTGTACGGATGGCCTTTTACACTGCCGTGCATGGGGGACAAGGACCGATCAAATTTTTTGAAGACCTAGTTGCCGAAAACAATGGTTACCAGAACTTCAAAACGCTTGTTGACGAGGAGGTACATAAACATCGTGAAGCAGGCTTGTACTTTCTCTTCGATACAGTCCTGGATGCCCTTGATCACAAACCTAAAGATAGCCGGACTATTGGCGAAAGGAAGATACACGACTTTGTGTTGCAGATCGCTAAGGAGAACTTCGGTGACGAATATGTACGTCGCATGAGATCAGACGTCGGCGATGGCTCGCCATTGGCAACGTCCACCTGATTCTGCTCATCCCTACCGCTACCTACGACTTGACGCCGGTTTGAAGGAAGTAGCGACTCACTTCCGTAGGCTTTTTAGACGAGCGCGTGGACAGCGTTCATGATCAGGCGAAGTGTAGGCGAAGATCTGTATACGCTACTCGAGATGCATATACCAGATTAGATGTAGCTAGGGATTAAGTCTGGCATAGCCTAATACATATTGTTGTTAACATGTATTACGATCAGTCTTTTCCTGGCACCAGACAGTCAAGCCTTTATTGTAACGGGGCGCACCCTTGCGTGAACTTAACGCAAGGGTTTGGGTGCCCCGACAGACGTACACGAGGCAAACGAGGAAGCGTAGATAAGGGAAAAGTAAAACTGTTATATTAATATAATTAAGTCTTTTAGCTACTGTCTCTCTGTTTGACTTAACTTAATTATGCTAATATAACTGAGTGTATGGTGACGTCTCGTCACCACTCATCGCGCGCGTCCTGCGGCGATTGGTGGGTTGATATCATCACGATATCAACCAATGAGCAGACCCTTTGGTTGCCTCACCAATATAACCACTATCGGTGATAATGTTGAACGAATATCCAACTTCATATTCTTTATTGTCACTTTCTTTAAAGTGACATTTCCATGTAGCGGGCTGCCCCGTTACATCACCCCCTCCTTAACTGATAGTCACTGTGTGACCATCGAAAATTATGGCGGCCACCCGTTTGGCGTCATTGGGACAGGGAGCACTTGTTGGGTCCGTTCCGTTCATAACTTAACCTGAACTCGAATAGTTAACATGTATATGCGGGGTGACTCAAGGCACACAGAGTATGTGCCTGTGCCAGCTTCTGCGGCAGACTATTCGTCGTCTGCTGCTCGTTCTTCGCCTGCAGCAAGAGGTGCTGCAGGTGCACGTGGTACAGCACCGCGTGCGCATGGTAATCCCGACATTGAGGTCATCTACTCTGGCGAGTCAGACGTGTCTAACTCGGGCAATGCTGCAGAAGCGTATCGATCACCGGCGACGCCTCAGTGTTCGCCAAGGCCACTGCCGAACGAAAGGACTCGTGAGTTTCAACACAGTCTGTTCGGCAGTGATGACGAATCTGATGATGAGTATGTTTGCTCATCACCGAGATCAGCTCGTGCTCCTTCGCACGAGCGACTTGACGATGGTGCAATCCATCGTCATACTGACAACCGTAATACCGACAAGGGTACCACCGTGAAGCGTGATGAGCTGAAGCCGTGGCGTTTGCCTAAACGGCTCATCAATAGCTTGTCTCACGAGACAAGCCAACACCATCGAATACCCTTATTCGATGCGACTGAGCTTCGCGGCTTGACTCCCAGCGCGAGCAACTTTCGCGCTATAGAAGACTTTTATCTCGATGTCTTCCTTAAACATCGATGGTACGACAGCAATAAAAAGCGTGACAAAGCCTCGCTTTTGGCTGCGTGGAATGCGTTCGTCCAAAACGTAAAGAATTTTGGACGAGAAGGGTGGCTTAAGAAACTTGAGGCGACACGCCTCAGGTTCGAAATGCGAACGCCAACCGGTGCAAGGTACCGGTTGCAATGTTTGTCTAGTGAGGCCGGTATTCCATGCCTCAGGTGGGGATACCCTTGTGCGAGTTGCGCTGACAACTCGCAACGTGCGCAAAGGGATGTGTATTCCCTCGATTCGCCCTGGGGAAGGGCACACATCTCGGCTGAGATGCGTGACGGGATTGCAAACTTGCAATCCGTCTACAAGCGCCAAAAGCGCGTGTTTACCGATGGTCCCTCGGACCAATCGGATGAGTCTCGTCATATTGGCGGACGAGACCTTCAACATCCATCATCACCTTGCAGCGAGGTTCCCAGCTGTTCCAAGAAGATGGATACCCCCGCCACTGGACGAGGTAGCTCGTCCTTGATCCTAAATCGTCACGGTGGTTCAAGATCCGCTCCACTAGAAAGCGTTGACCACCGTGAGAATCCACCAAAGGATGTGGTGGAGGAGGAAAGACCTCCTCCAGATGATTCTGCTCACCATCTCGACCCTTGCGAGATGGATCGCGCAATCGATGAATTGCGCAATGACTTGAAGCACGAGCGCGACCGGCGCTACGCTTTGACTGATACCGTGCGGAAGAACCGCAATGATCACGAGGCTGATCGGGCGAGGGATCGCGCCGATTATGCCACGGCGTAGCTTCAGGTCGAGCGGGATGTCCGCTCCCTTTTCGGCGAGCTGGCGACAGCTCGCGGGGAGATATCTCGGTTAAGTTCCGAGGTATCATATCTGCGCGACCAGACGGATCGTCTGGAGCGCGAACGCAAGAACTTGATGGATGTACTTGAACGCGGGGGCTATCTTCACCGGAAGAAGAAGGCTTGTACTGACAGTACGGCCTGAGCCTCCCCACGTAAAACGTAGGATGCGTGCGCGTCTTACGTGGTAATTCGAGTGTGTATGCATTGCCCTTGCGATGCAACACTCGAAATGGCCCAATGTACTTCGGCAGTAGTTTACTACTGCCGACACTAGTGACTGCATGTCCAGGTAAGTTTACCGTAGACAGTAGTACTAGGTCGTTAACTTTAAATAAAAGAACATTTTCTCTTCCATTCTTGTCTGCGTTTCGTTTCTGGCGGTCCACCGCATTTGCGATGGAGTCCTGAACGAAACGGACTACCGCTTCTCGAGTCAGCAGGAAGTTCTCTGCTGACTCTTTGTTGTGTCTGGCAGTGCGCTTCGTGCGCACTGATAAGAGATTGCTTTCTTCTTCAGCGAGGTTTTCTTCTTCCTTGCTGGAATAATCGTTGACGATGCTGAATATACCAGCATCGTCATCATCATCCGAGTCAGTAATAGCGTCGCCGCCATTTCTGAGGTGATCTTCTTCATCGATGTCGACTTGATCGACATCGGCATCATACGTGACGACGTTAGCGTCGACACGTGATGAGCAAGAGCCAAAACGGTTTTTGCTCGAGCGAGTCCCTCCCCCCTTATTCAAGAGTCACACTCTAAAAGGGCGGGCACACGTGGATGGCGTAGGCCATTCACGTAAAATGGTGTGTGCTGTGTTGAAGCATGCACCGAATTATTGATGGCGATTTCCACCATGGGTATAAATTCGCTCCAACTCGGGAACGAGTGGACGTATCCTCGAAGGATCTCTTCGAGGACACGGTTCGCACGCTCCGTCTGACCATCTGTTTCAGGATGGTCAGAAGTAGACATCTTCAATCGTGTTCCCAATGTGCGAAACACGGTTTGCCAAAATGCCGCCGTGAACCGAGGATCACGGTCGGATACGAGTTCACGGGGTAAACCGTGGAGTCTAAAGACCGTGTCTAGAAAGACACGAGCACAACCTTGGGCCTTGATCGACTCAGGGACGGCAGCAAGATGCACCATCTTGCTGAATCGGTCAACAAACACAAGAATACCAGTATTCTTGTGAGCGTCTTCGGAAAAACCGAAGACGAAGTCCATTGAAATGGACTGCCAACACTCTGTCGGGACCGGCAGAGGTTGTAACGGTGCACGGGATGAAGGACTAGGCTTCAACCGTTGACAAAAATTGCAAGCACGTATGTACTTGCGGACAAACTGATACTGGCGTGGCCAGTAAAAGTCACGACTTACCGTGCGGTAAGTCTTTTCTTTGCCACGATGGCCACCTGATGAGTCATCGTGACACTCATACATGATGCCTAACGCAAATCGTGATGAGAGAATACGACGACCCGAGGCGTGTCGTCGGCAACAGCTGTATATTACATCAATCCGTTGCGTGTAGTATACCGATCCGATGAGGGTCGGTACAAAGCTGGTAAATCCCCATAGATTTACTGGATGGATTCACCAGATGATCCATTAATCGCAGAAGATCCTTATCTTCCGCGTATGCCTTTCGTACGTCGTCAAGTTTACTTGACGACGGGACACTGACTGACAGTGTCGCAACAGTGGGCTTATCCTCACCGTTGATTTGTGCGTCTGGCTCGAAATCGGGCCGGCGCGAAAGCGCATCAGCGACGACATTGAGTCGTCCTGGTTTATACTCCACGAAGAAGTTATACTCCGCGAAGAAAGACAGCCACCTCGCCATCCTTTGCGAGAGGTGAGGGCTGTTTACGGCCGTGCGTGATGACCCATGGTCCGTATAGACAACAAACGGTCTATCTCCCAAGAGATAGACGCGAAACTTAGCCAGTGCATACTTCATGGCAAGGGGTTCCTTGTCATGCACTGGGTAATTGCGCTCAGCTGCTTGCAGCTGACGCGACTGATAACAGATGACGCGCTCCGCGCCATCTGCGTCGAACTGCATTAACGCACAGCCGATTGCAAAATTGCTGGCGTCACAGACCACATGAAATGGTTTGTCCTGATCTGCAATCGCCAAGATCGGCGATTTCATCAAGCTTTGCTTGATACCCTCAGAGGAACGCTGGCACTCAGCGTTGCATGACCACTTGACATTTTTCTTGAGCAAGCAAGAAAGTTGTACCGTCATTTCGGCGTAGTTGCGTGAATACTTGTGCAATACGCCGCTAGCCCAAGGAACTTCCGCAGTCCCTTGACATCGACCGGCACTGGACAGTCGGTCAACCTTGGTCTTTTCGGGATCAGAGCGTACGCCGTGCTTACCCACAATGCACCCAAGAAGTGGTATTTCGCTAGCCGCAAATATACACTTCTTGAGGTTGGCGTACAACTTATGCTTGCGCATAAGTTGATGAACCTGACGAACGTGAGTTCTATGAACTTCAACGTCCGTCCTTCCGTCCATAGCCCGGCTGTGGACGAACACATCGTCGAAGTAGCTCGGTGCGAAGTCTCGCACTAGTCTCAACAGATTTGTAACACATCTGTTGAACGTTGCAGGGGCATTACTCAGCCCCTGTGGCATAACTAGCCACTCCCACAGCATCCCGCGGGGGGTGCTCACTGCTGTGAACGGCGTGTACCGTTCACGCACGAGGATCTGATAGAACCCATCCATCAGATCC